AGAAAGAAACTTAAGGGAATGATGCCATTTAATGTCATTGACGTATTGGCTAGAAAAGCATATTTGTGTCATATAAAAGTGAGAGAAGATCATAGGAAAACAATAGATTCCAACCATGTCAAAGTCTTGCAGTGATAGAAAAAGGTAACACATCTGTTTTCTTTCCTCTCCTATAAACTTCCAATGCTCAGTATTATATCTAGACTAAGCAACAGAGCTTGCTTATTGCAAGCTTTGAAAAAAATTCTTTCAAACCAATGAATTAATATTGAGCATCAAGTAGGAACTGCTCAAAGGAGGCATACATTATTATGGGAAAATAGGAGAACTTATGACAAAGGCATGGCTGAGGAGAATGGTGAGAATTACCCCAGCTACACCAATTATGATGTCTGTGGTCCATTGGTAGGATTAGAACTAAATACATGCCATGAAGTGTTGTGGGAGATATTTAAATCTCCAACCTGAGTAGGATGGGTCAATGAAAACACAACTCAGTAATTATGAATATATTCTATAAGCCTAGATTTGGCAGATACCCATACACTACTCTGTTCCCCAGCTACGAGACCCTTATAACTTGAGGATTTTCCAGACCCTGCATTTGTACTTCTACCTCCTGCTTCCCAGTCATTGTCTTCAGGAAGATGACCGAGAAGACAATGACTGGGAGAGAAGAGAGGAGAGAGAAGACAACAGAGGATGACGGAGAAGGATGAACAGAGTAGCTGGGGAACAGAGTAGTGTAGGGGTATCTGACCAATCTAGGCTTACAGAATATATTCATAATTACTGAGTTGTGTTTTCATTGACTGGACATATTTGGGTTGGAGATTTAAAGAGCTACCACAACAATGAAAGAATCATCACCTTTCTTTCTTCTTGGCTACTCTGGATATGTGATCGATAGTTCCATCAACAACAACCTGGTAAGAGATGCCTCTACAGTGTATCATGGGAAGAACAGTGTGCTGATGCATTTGGCTGCTTGGACGTGCAGGGACTTGCATAGCCATTCCATGTCCCTAGACCTATTTCAAGATATATACCTCAGAACTTACTATGAAATATTAGCTGAACTTGCTTATATTCTTGTAATTTCAGCAAAGCCTTAAATACCACATGGTAAGAGGCACAAACTTCATTGGCTTAGCTCTGTGGAATTTAAGTCTCAATGTTATAGGAGTTCTGTAAAGATGTTTGGTGGTAGGCTATTTGAGTCAGAGTTTTCTGAAGGAACTCAGCATATACATACATATATATATATTATGTAATAATATATGCAATATACAAGATATATATTATATACACATATGTATTAAATATGTTATATAATGTATACATTACACACACATACACAACATGGAATTAGATTGGTTTATGAAATATGGGCTAGATAGTCCAAAAGTGGTTGTCTATATGATGAGGAGGCTAAGAATCTGTTATCTTCTCCATCCATGAAGCTGGATGGCTCAGCAATCCTACTCTGACTCTAAAAGCCTGGAGAATTCTTGGAGAGCTGCTTTTCTTTGGTCCATATTGAAAGTCAGAAGCAGATGAGTTCTAAGAGAAGTGATGCATGGCAACAGTAGCACCGGCAAGAGGATAGATGCATTACCTAGCAAGAAGTGAAGGCAGGCAGGAAAAGAAGCACTGCCATTATCTTTGGCCAATAGCTGGCAGGTACCAGATTTCTTCAACTCTGGTCAATAGCTGGCAGGTACCACTCACTCTCCAAGTGCATCTCCTCTCTTCAGTTAATCCCTCTTGGAATGACATCAGAGACATCTGCAGAAGCATGTGTTTTTGTTGGGTCCATATCTAACCAAGTTGACACTCAAGATTACCATTGCAATGGGCTTCCCTAGAGTGGTTTATGACCTCAGAGTCCAACTAACCTTTGGATATGGTGAGACCTCTACTGTAGTCTCTGCTTCCAGCCTAGGTTGTTGGACAAAAGGATAAAAGCATCTTCATGAGGGGCAGGAGGTGGTGGTTCTGGGAAAGAAGTAGTGTTTGCCGCTTTAACTTGTTCTGTTGATTAGAATACCCTTACTACTGAAGAGGCAGGACAGCAACCTAAGAGGAGAAAGAGTGGTGTCTCCAGAAGAACATTAAAGTACTCTGCTAGTTTTAGGTTCCAGTGTGGCTGTGATAATTTTGTTTCTAGGACATCATCTTTCTTTAGTGTTTTTCTTTGGTTTCCTCTGCCCCCTTCCTTTACTACTGCCATCAGGAGAAAGAAAAATATGATTTGGAGTCTTTTCCCATGATTATCCCATGATTATTGTCTACTTAAGGAGATCCAGAGGCCGAAGATCTGGTTCAGCAGTTAAGAGCACTTGTTGCCTTTGCAGAGGACTCAGGCTTGATTCCCTGCACTCAGATGATAGCCCACAACCATATGTAAGTCCAGTTCTAGGTGATCTGATGCACCAGGCACACACTTACATGAAAAAAAGAAGCATCCACATCAACAAATACCTGAAATATACAAAAAAGAATATTCAACTTCTGAGGCCGGTTCAATTTATAAAGTGCTCATTGTATGTGATGGTTTGACTAAAAATGGTCACCCCAGAGACTCATGTATTTGAATGCTTGATCATTAGGGAATAACAGGGGTTAGGACGTTTGGCTTTGTTGGAGCATTTGTGGCCTTGTTGAAGGAAATAGTCACTGGAGTGGGCTTTGAGCTCTCAGATGCTCAAGCCATGTTCAGTGTGGCAATTTCTCCCTGCTGCTGTCTTCTCCACCACCATGTCTGCCTGCATGTTGCCATGGTTCTTGTCACAATGATGATACATTAAACCTCTGAAAATGTAAGATAGCTCCAAGTAAATAATTCATAAGAGTTGCGGTGGTCATGGAGTTTTCACAGCTATAGAACACTGAGGATTGTGTAAGCATGGGAACCTGAGTTTACACTCCTGAAACCTGCATAAGACTGCTGAGCAAAGTGGTATGTGCCCAGAATTCCAGTGCTGCTGAGGGTTGGACAGGTCCCTGGGCCCCTCTGGCCAGCCAGACTAGATGAATTAGCAAATTCCAGGCCACTAAGAGATCTTTTCTGACTTCTTGCCTACACATGCATGCACACACATGTGTATGCTCATAATACACACACACACACACACACACACAAACGCACACACACACACACACACTCCAGCGTCTTATAAATCAAGTTCCAAAAACTACTTATCCCTGACTGGACCTTTTAGCTATTTTAAGAAAGTATTTTTATGGGGTCATAGCTCAGCAGTGATTTAGGAAACAGATGTATTGTTGAGCCTCTGTATAATGGCAGTGATTCTCACACTCTAGGGAGCATTAAAATCAGCTGGTTGCCAGTCTTACAGTCTGATATTATGATGCTCTAGTCTTGGGTGGGGTTGACAGTCTGTGCTTCTGACAAATTTTCAAGCAGTTCAAGGGCAACACTAGAGGGTTGGCTGCTTTAGAATAACCTGTTTTAATTTCCTTTTTCAGAGGACAACCTACTTTCTGACACTAAATCTTATACATATAGGAACATAATGTAAAACACATTTTAATTCATAAAAAGGAAACCTTTAGACATTGAAAAAATATCTCCTAATCCTCAAGTTTGAAGAAAGAATGTTCATGCTAGTGGTTTAAAACTTCTCAAGTTGTTCTGTCTCTCAGATTTTCCCATTTCTTTATTTACAAAATGAAAAAAACATATACTTTTTTTGGGAAAAGAGATTTGGTTCCAGGCTAATCTTGAGAGGAAAAAAGAAGCCAGGAGATTTGCTTGCTTCAATAGAAAAGGAGATTTTCACAGCATCAGAGAATTCCCTGGGGCCTGCACACTGACGGGAAAGTATTATGTTGCTTCCACAAATGAGTGGGGCAGCCTTGTTTTGTGGAAGATTGTGCACACTCAGCCTCTGGGCTGAATTTCAAAACCGTGTACCAGCAATCACCCTGAATGGCCGGCATAGCATCCTGATGGGTCTCAACACAGTGTAGAGACAGATTTATCTGTGCAGCTTTGAAAAGGATACCCATGTTTGGGCCTCACACACTCTTCGCTGTGGCCTGGGTATTGTCCAGTCTCATGTGGGAATCTTTCCATGGCCTATAACCTCTGGCTCCTTTGTAGCGTCCCTTTCTTGGCGAGTAAAGCAAGTGCGGGGAGGTGACTCCTGGCTTATAGATGATAGGCACATTCTCTATGCCTCCAAGTTTGATTGCATTGGGGATATTAAATTCCCACGCAGTGAGCACTCTATCACAGGACAAATGAGAGTGTCAGAGCTGGCGTTTTAAGGTCCTGTGTTATTATGTGCAATGATAAACTGCTTGTGAGTGATTAAACTGCCTCCGTGGGCCACGGCCTTCACTCTTCTCACTTTCCAGGTGATACCATCTACCTTTGCAAGCTTTTCCCTCTCCCCAAAGAGAAGACTCACATGTGTCGAACCACTGCAAGGCACTTCAGAAACTTGAAAAGTAGGTCGAGCTGAATATTTGATGCTTTATTTTCCTGGTCATGCGACAATGGGCCAAATCTGGACAGCTATAAGTCATCTTGGGTTTGGCCACCTGTTTGAAGGTTTAATCTCAGTCCTCATCACTAGGAAAAAGCAAGCAGAATTATTTCTTTATTGAGAAGGAAGTGAAACAGACTGGTTTCAGGCCTCAGATTTCTCTGCCTATTTCCTGTGACTACTCATTGTTTCAACACAAGGATGGGCCAGAGGACAAAGCTTTCTCATAAAGAATTGCTCGGACTTGCTCCCCAAGCTAATCATGCTTATAGTTCTGAGAAACTCAGCTTATTAAAATACTCCGTATTCAAGACATTTGTCCTGAATAACATTTCCCTCAGAAGAAGCTTCACTTGGATGACATTTCAGCCCAAATTGGCTTCTAAGGGCTCTAGAACGGAGTGATCATAACAACAAGATTATAAAGTTGCTATGGACAAAATGAACAGACACAATGACATCACATTTGTTCTTTTCTTCTACAAATATATCTTCAAGGGATGGGGTTGACTTTGTGACAGGCTGTAGTGTTGAAAGTGTATTCTCTACTCGTTTTGGAAATCACAGTGTAGGCAATTATCTTTATTTCTTGTTTCAAAGACACACCACTATGTAATTCTGTTTTACAAATGTAATCATTATAACCAATATTCACATGAATGTATACTCTATGTGAAAAAAAAAGAAAATGTGTATTGGGGATGATGACATGTTCTTACCAGATGCTGAAGTCATTGTTCTTGAATACTTTATTTTTCCTTAAAATATATTTCCTGGATGCCCCTTGACTTGGCTTTTCTGAAAGTCCAGGTTGATTCAGGTGATTCCTTCTGGAAATATGGTGTCTCTATACCATATACATCTCTATAGTATATAAGTGCTTCTGAAAACACCACCACCACCACCACCACCACCACCACCACCAACAACAACAACAACAAAAGGCCTGTCAGGATTCTAGCTCCCATCTCTGCAGTTAGCAGACAGCTAGGGGAATTCCTAGTGAGTCAGGTGAGATTGTGGATAGAAAAGTAGCCTCAGGCTCTGGACACTGCTGAGGCTGGTCTGTCAGCAGGTGCACTTCTCCTAAGGTCTTGACACTTGTGGAGGTGAGGAGTGCACATGTGGGTATCCTAGTCTGGTACAGTGTCTCCTGGACTTTGAGGATGTTGGCTAGACCCTCAATAGCGAAGTTTGTGTTTACAGCTTTGCTTTCTGCTCACCATAAGCAGAGAAGAAAAACAGAATAAAACAGTTTGCATATGAGAGGTGAGAATTGAGAAATGAGAAGCACCTGCTCTTTTTGCTGTTTCTTCTCCCTTTCCTTTCCCTTCCCTCCCTTCCCCTCCCTTCCCCTCCCCTCCCCCCTTCCCCTCCCCTCCCTTCCCTTCACCTTTCCTTTCCTTTCCTTTCCTTTTCCTTTCTTTTTTATATTTTGGAAATGACAAACAAGGCCTAATTATATTTTTTCTTTGTTTTAGATCAAGTCTGAAGATGGGATTATGTTATCTTATTGTGTAATTGAATTCAGTTGCGAGAAGAGAATGTGGCATGGTGTGATCTTTTCTGTCTCTCTGGAGCTCTAAGGTAAAGAGGCTCATGTCCATGTCCTATGTCAGGATATCCATTGCCATGGATCCTGTCAATAGGCAACCAAATATTTGGGTCAAAGAATTTGCCTACAGTTTATGATTGTAACTCAGAGAAAACTCTGGCAGGGAAATGCAGTCCATTTTATTACTTGTTCTCTCTCTTTAGGGATCAGCACCCACTCAAACCAGCCCTCTATAAATTCCCACACTTCCCCAGCAGGTACATCCTTGGAGCTGTTTTAGTAACCAACAAAAATGAGAATGATAGTTCTCAGTAATTAGCTTGCTAGAGAGAAGGATCACGACTATTAAATTCAAGCTATGCTAATGTGAAGTCTTAATCTAATGAATGACCCTTTCTACAACTTTATTGAAGTCCTGGTCTTATGGCTGTTGGTTATTGATTAACTAACAAGGTTGTTGGATGCTGTTTTGATTTCCACTGTTGCGCATACATCGTGCAAGGTTTGTAAGAGTTATTAAAACATAGAAAAAATTTTAACAAATTGTTAAAGTTCATCCCCTCCCTTGCCAATGCTTGGACAGTCGTTACAACAGCACCCCCACGTGGCAGAACCACCTAGCGAGAATGAAGAAAATAAGCCCTGTGTTCACCAGGCAGGAGTTGTTCCTGAAGGAGATTAATATATGGGGTTGAAGACATGGATCCATTTGCATAGTGTAAGGGTAGCATCCTTGAAAATCTGGGTTCCATCCCCAGCTCCACGCAAACTGGGTGGAATGGCTGATTTTAATGTCATAGCATAATTCCTTACTACATTCTCAACCATCCTTATACCAACAGATAAGTTTAGCTGTATCTATCCTTTATCACAGAAACCTTTCCTTACAGCAAATGGAGACCACCACAGAAAACCACAAGTGGATACAAGGCAGAACCCAACAAAGTGTGAGTAGTCCAGCTCCAATGGATACATCTATATCAGAGCTTCTGAATTTATGCCTCAGGGAACATTTTGGAGGAGAGGTGGAAAGATAGTAAGAGCCAGACTATTAGAAAGTCTGCTCTGAACAAGTCTTTCTTAGAAAAGGCTGAATAAACCAGATCAGAACAATGGCATCATCAATGGGCACGGTAATATGGAAGATAGAAACTTCTGTGGATTCTTCCCACTAGACTACAGGCAACTAATGACTTTTTGGAGAATGAGAATTAGTTTCTACTGGAGATGGGCTCCCTTACTGTTTATCCAATGCAGAGTGGTCAGCCATACACACTCAAACAACAAATTGGATTCAGTAGGCTATACTTACCTTTGTTTAAGCATACACACACTCACTCATATGCATGTAACAAAAGTAGTCAAGGAAGAAAAGAGGTTATCAACTTGAGAGTTGGGGACATACAGGAGGAACTTGAGGGAGAACAGCTGTGTAGAGACCACTGAAGTGAGGAAATGGAGGAGAAAAGTTATGTAATTCCAGTTCAATTAAATACATTTAAAAAATCTCTATTGATCCAATTTAGTGCTGCCAACGTGCTTATGGTATAGGACTATCTACAGGAGCCTGGTTGGTTCTCCTGTACCAAATCTCTGAAGACTGATTCTTTCTTCCCCAGCCAACTTCAATTGCAAATAGCTCCTTAGGAAAGGTGAGACTTCTTGACTTCTTCACCATCCATGTTGGGATTTTTCTCTGGCTTGATCTTGTATAGGATTTGTACCTGCAGTCAAAGCTGCTATGAGTTCAAGAGTGTAATGGACCTGTCATGTTTGAAAAATACTGTATTGTTGCAGATTTCCACTGCCCTGGTTCTTACACTTTTCCCACTCCCTCTTCCAAGATGATCCTTGAGCCTTGGGAGGAAGAGTATCATATTGAAGTTCCATTTAGCACCGAGGACTCCCAATTTCTTATTCTCTGTATGTAGAGAATATGCATGTCTCTGTGTCAATCATCTGCTACAAAAGAAACTTCTCTGATGAGGGGTAAGTGGTGTTTAATCTCTAAGGATAAAGGTACATACTTAGGGACAGTTTAACACTATGTCCATTGACCAGAATAACAGTAGTAAGTAATTCCCCTTGGGCCTATGACCTATCCAGCTACAGATTCTTGGCCCAGGCGATAGTAGCTGCCTCACGTTTCATCTTGTGCAGTGGATTGTAAATATAATCAAATAGTGTTTGTCACTCTTACAATATTTGCGCCATTATTGCATTGGTGGGCCTATCTTGTCAGGCCAGTTATTGTAGTTTGCAGAGTTCACAGCTGCACAAGATTATTGACTGCTTCTTTTCCCTTGGTAGTTTCCAGAGCTATGAAAGCCAGTCAATAAAGATGAAGTTTCTATGTTGATAACAACTTGATTTCTGTATGTCCTATGATTCAAGTACATGGTATCTTTACTAATAGGGTCTTTCCGTCAAGTTCTGGAGGATGGCCAAGAACAATATAATGTTCACTGTTTGCAGAGATAGCCAGATGAGTTGTGGTATATTCTTAGTAAGGATTATCACCATTACTGTCTGAGTATCTGCTAAGCAAAATAGGAAATTGTGGCAATTCCTTGAATTGTGCAGGGCACATGAAACTGACCTGAAAAACTATAATAAAGAAATGTAAGATTGGATATACGCAGGCCACTGAGTAATGGCTTCCCTTACTCCATGAAATGGTCACATTTATCTTAGCTGGATGTGGTCATAGGCCTTGATGATTTCAACAGCATGTTATTCTTTATTCTGTGACATCTTAATGGATCGGAAAGTTATTACAGAATAATACAAAATGTAATTATATAAAACATTATGTTCTGAAAAGGAAAATTTGAGCTGAGAAATAGTTTGGTTGTTCAAAGTACTTGCTATCTTCCAGTGGATGCAGGTTAGCTCCCAGTACCAACATCAGGTGCCTCACAATAGGCTTATACCTTCAGCCTCAGAGGATCCAAGACCCTCTTATGAACTCTGTGGGCACCTGCATGAACATAGTATTTACTCACATAAACATACACATACACACAAATAAATAAAAATAAATCTAAAAGCATGGGAGAAATGAAATAAGATAGGCAGAGGTATTAATAGAGAGTTCTCACTGTTTTCTCTGTCTCTCCCACACCTGCCTTCGTTCGTTCGTTCGTTCGTTTGTTCCTTCCTTCCTTCCTCGCTCCCTCCCTCTCTTCTCTTCTCTTCTCTTCTCTTCTCTTCTCTTCTCTTCTCTTC